GAAAGAAAGAAAGAAAGAAAGAAAGAAAGAAAGAAAGAAAGAAAGAAAGAAAGAAAGAAGAGAGGAAGGAAGGTGCCTTTCCTGAGGTCCAGACTGTGTGTGACGGGTGGGTCACAGGAGGAAGAGGAAAAGGAGGAGGAAGGGTAAGAGGAGGAAAAAGAGGAGGAAGAGGAAAAGGAGGAGGAGGAGAAGAAGAGCAGGTGGCTAGATAGAGGAAATATCGCAGTACTTCTGAGACCTTGAAATCAGGGAGGAATTGAGAACGACGACGATGAAATTATCTGGTTTTCCAGGTGGACACTGATCTATTTGCCCTCAGTGGCTTCAAGGGCTGGCAGCCACCATCCCTAACTATGTCCCTTGGCCCTACCTATTCCAATGCATCATTCTCATCCCACCCTCACTAGACATTCTTTCATCTGGGTTTTGCTTTACTTTTGTCTACTGTCTCAGCTCAGCATTGTAATGAATGAGCCCATGAACCAGGGTTTCTGAATCATAGCAAATATATTATATTATCTTCACTTTCTGCAACAGAACATTCTGGACTCAGTCAGTGATGGGCAAAGCAAGCTTGATGCAGTGACTCAGGAGGGACAGACTCTGTATGCACATCTGTCTAAACAAATTGTCAGCAACATTCAGGAGCAAATTACAAAGGCAAATGAAGAGTTTCAAGTGTTTCTGAAGCAATGCCTTAAAGACAAGCAGGCTCTCCAAGACTGTGCTTCTGAGCTGGGCAGGTAGGTTGCTCTGATAAGTGTAAATTTCATTACACACAGAGAAATGGGCCATGTGAGCAAACATAAATTTGAAATAAAGAGTTTAAATTATAATGATGTTTGACCTACCTTAAGTACATGCTGTTTCTAATAAAATAAGCAAGAGCTTATACTTTATTTTCTACATATAAAAATAAATTATTTTCAGTAGTTTCCTACTACTTTGCTTAATGGAATTTTGTAACATTTCTTAAAAAAAGAAGAAAATAAATTATTTTAAGTAGTAATTATAAATGATATAGTTGATGTAATTTTCATCTGTTAGGCTAACACAAGATGGTAGTGCTTTCAAACTTCCAATTTTAGGTGATCCAAGATTTTTCTTATGTCTACTTCTGTTTAGATAATATCATGGCAGAAAATGATACTAAATTTTGCTAATCAATCACAGTCAATAATGTATGTCAATGAGAGTAAATATCAAACTAGAAGAAAAAATTCCTTGTCAGTATGAGAAAAGACATCACTATAATCAAATTGCCTTTCTAGTTGCCAAATAATTTGCCTTAGACTTGTCCAGGATTCTGGTAGAGCTTATACTATCATCAAAATTCAGAGCTTTTGTGACAAATTCAAATTTCCTTAAGAAACAAAGATGTAAGAACCACTTTCCCTTCTTTCTCGGGAGCTATACATGTGCACTTGTCCACTGGCAACCATTGAAGTCTTTGTACTCAGACACACAAAGCTAAGTGTATGTTGACATGAAAATGTAATCACACGTCCATTAATAATTATGAAATCTATTTAGGTAAGGTAATTTTTCCCTGCTTGTATACCAAATCATAATATCAGGACTTGTCAACTTTATTCCTGAAACAAGCAAAAATTTGGACAGGCTTATTGCTGATATTTCTTCCTAACTTAAAATTCCGTGCAATCTTAATTGCCATAAAAAGACATAAGTGACCTTAGCTATTAGAACTTACTAATGTAATGAGCAAAGCAGAATTCCTCTAGAGTATTTTTTTTTCTTTAGCTTTGAAGATCAGCACAGAAAACTGAACTTATGGATCCATGAAATGGAAGAAAGACTAAATACAGAAAATCTGGGAGAGATTAAACAGCATCTTCTGGAAAAGAAAAATGAAGTTCATAAAGTTGAAATGTTTCTGGGAGAACTTATGGCCGCTAGGTATGGAAACAAAAATAGAACAGGTCCATTATTTACTATTATGTCTTCAACTGCTTGGTGTTTTGGCTTGGTTTGGTTTGGTTTGGTTTAGTTTGGTCTGGTCTGATCTGATCTGGTCTGGTCTGGTCTGGTCTCTTCTGGTCTGGTCTGGTCTGGTCTGGTCTGGTCTGGTCTGGTCTGGTCTGGTCTGGTCTGGCCTGGCCTGGCCTACCTGGCCTGGTCTTCTCTAGGGTGATCTGATTTGGTTTGGTGTTGATAATAATTCACTGAATGGCTAGAATGCAAGATGTTGCTACTGTTTCCATTATATCAGTGTGTCATTCTACAGACTGCGGGATAGAAATAAAGAGCCAATGTGCATATTAGTTCTACCTTTTCATTAAAAAAAAAAATTGGGTACTTATCTACTATAACTCTTCATTTTTTTTCCTTTAGACACAGTTTGGTACTACTGTATTTTCCTTTCTGGGGTTGTTTTGAGGACGGAACAATGTAACATGAAGCACACAGGAAATTGACCATAGCAATAAAGACACAAAGTTAATGCTGCAGACTTCAACTTCCACTCATTCTTCACACATTTCATGCCCTAGGTACATTTCCTGTGCACCCATCCCCAAATTTTCTTAATGAAGCAAAAGACATGGTCCTTTTATCTGACTCTCCTTTGATTCCTGTTCTCTACCTCAGGCTTTCTCTCTTCATTCCTTCCCTACTGAGTGAGCAAGTCAGGGTTTCTTTCTTATGCTTGACTTACCACCCACCTTCAGCACCTTGGTCCCTAAGTTCACTGTAAGTGTCACTCCTGGCATTGTTAGTTGCCTCCTCCCCACCAGAAGAGAGAACAATTTTCTCTGGGGAAACACAGATGCCACAAACACTTGGGATCCTGGAAATCAGCCTCCAAAAGAGCAGGAGCACTAGGCTGTGAGGTAGAAGAGGGGCATACCTGATCGTATGCTCAGATCAATCAGCATTCATTAATATTGTAAAACTTGCCCCATTCAAGTCACGGCATTTTCTATACCTTTCACATCATTTTCATGGTCTCACACACCTAGTACTCCTTGCCTTGAAAAACAAGCATGTAGAAAAACCAAACAGCAGAACTCCTCCTGACAGCTCCTTCAATACACGTGCTAGCTTGTTAACCACTACAGAACTTCCCTGAAATACTTTTGTTCCATCACTGGAAATATTATTGATGGCTAACTTTGATGATAGGATCCACCAATATCCAACTAAGTCCTTCAAGATGAGGGACTTCAAGTCTCCATCTCTACGTGCCCGTAGGATAGGGAAACGACAGTACTTTCCTTTGTGCCTACATTTTTTGGCATGTTTATGCTAAAATCCTATTGGAGAAAGTGCTCTAAATACCCTTCATCAGACTCAATGTTTTGCTTTACTTGTCTTTGTACTAATCTTTTTTTTTTTTTTTTTTTTTGGCAGAACCGGGGATTGAACTCAGGACCTTGTGCTTGTCAGGCAAGCACTTATTCCACTGAGCTATCTCCCTGGCATCAAGAATTACAATTTTTGACCTGAATTGACAGCCATTTTTCTTGAAGTTTTACTCTCTGGTATCCCAAGTGCAGATGACAAGTGACCTTACTTGAATCCAGGGTATTTCCTACCAAAATGGCTGCTTTTCTAGTGCATTCTATGCACTGTGCTGGTCATCCATGATCTTGTGCTGGGTCACTTCAGTTCTTTCACTTGCTCCTTACTACTCCCAGTGTTCTAGAATTTCCCATTATATTTCCAATACCTCAAATATTTTGGGAAGATGTCTCGTACTTTTTAAAAGTACACAGACCTGAGACTCACTGCATTTTTTTTCATTAATCCAACAGTTCATCTTGTAGTAACAAATATAACACCTTGTTTTTTATTATTATTGACATCTTGCCTTGGCAAACAAATTACAAATATAATAAATATCTTTTAGAGTAGGCATAATATTGAGCCACTCTTCATATCTCAGGATGGCTCAAAGGAGACTTTATATAGTAGCTACTCAGATTAACACTTTATGTTCTTTTACAAATAATGAGACATTTTACTAGTAGTTAAGTCATTTCTTTCTTTTTCTTTTTTGTTTTTCTTTTTTGTTTTTCTTTTTTCTTTTTTTTTTTTTTGCATTTAGGACAGGGTGTATAGGGTCTCACTGCGTAGATCAGACTTGTAGTGATCCTCCTGTTTACAGCCTTCCAAGTGCTACGATTACAGATATGCACCACCACGTCCAGTCTCAATCGCCTTCTCAGTGCACCCAGGGGGGCGGGGCCGGCACAGCAGGCCTGGGGATTGAACTCCCAGCCCCTGCATCTGCCTAAGCATGCACTTTAGTCTGCTGAGTTATTTGGTTGGCCCTATTTTTAGTCATTTCTTCACTCCTGTGTGTACTTTTATTTTCCTGATAAGAATTCTCTCGATTGAAGGTTTAGGGTTTTGGAAGCCAGGGGATCATGAAATGAGAGTTAAAGGTATAAAATCTGAGTTAAATAGGAATAAGATGATTTTGCTGTTTTTAGTGTAACTTAACAGTATGATGGGCCAGCCAAATAGCTCAGTGGAGTAAAGTGCCTATAAGCAGGGCAGGGGCTGGGGGTTTGATCCCCAGGCCTGCCGTGCCGGATCCACCCTGGAACACACAGGGACAGTGATTAAGACTGGGCGTGGTGGAGCGTGCCTGTAATCCCAGCTCTTGGGAGACACTAAACAGACAGATCACTACAAGTCCAATCTAGTAGTGAGACCCTGAACACCCTGTAGACCCTTCCTTAAAATACAAAAACAAAAACAAAAAACAGCATGGTGAATATAGTTTGAAATACAAATATTGTACATCCCTAATTAGTAAAAGAATAAATTTCAAATATTCTCATCACAAAAGAGTGAAGTATTTGAAACGATAAACATGTTTATCTGCTTAATTTAATTAGTGCACATTGTATTCATGTCATAAGACCACTTTTTCCTGTAAATATAGACAATTACAAATTGTCAGCTTACAATGAAAATAACAGTAAATGATTGCCCAAGTTGTACTTAAGCAACAAACAAATAAGTAAAAAAATTCAGAGCTCTAAACTGAAGTAGCAGGCTACATAATGATTATGTTTTTCCCTTGACCTTAGTAAAATAGCTCCAAAGTGAAATGAACACAGTACTCGAGATTACGGCAAGGAAAATTGCAAAACACGTACAAAGGCCTTTGAAAAATGTGGGGGGTGTTTTGTTGTTGTTGTTTTTTGGGGGGGTTGTTTGTTTTTGTTTTTTTGCTTTGCTTCACATTGTGTTGGGTTCTGAGGACTGAGGATTCATGCTGTAGCACTGGTTTTAAAAGGATGACAGCTCTGTGCATTGAGAAAGATCTACTGGGTAAGAAAGCAGGACAAGGAAGGTGCATGAGGGAAGGCCCGCTCTGCCGCTTCTCCTGCATCGTTGTGGGTGCTCCTGGGGGATGTAATACCTTGAAAGAAAATAAGGCAAACACAAAAGAGCAGAAGGCTGCTCCCAAAGGCAGAGACTGCACATACTGTGAGTTACTGCTTAACAGAGCAATACCAAGAACTACATCATCAGGTGATTTTGTCACTGTGACTATGTCAAGCCACAGAGTAGGCTTGCAGAAACTAATGCTTTGCTATGACTAGGTGATGGCATCTTACGGTCTCACCATTGTATGGGTGGCCCACTGCTGATCAAAACAGCTTTATAGGGCACGTGCAAAGTGCATAGTCTAAGTGGCAGAGTGGTTTAGGAACTGCAGGGAGCTTGCCACATATAGATCACCGGGTAGCAAGGGAGAGATGCTCCCAATAAGCCTGGAGAGGAAGCAAGGCCATCTTTTGAGCTGAATTCTCAGTCAGCTCCATCCCTACTATTTGGCCCCAAACACAACATGGGTTGGATCATTTCCACCAGTGGCCATTAGCTCCATTAAGAGAGACCATAAGAGAACACAAGTACCCGGGCTGGTTCCCAGCATCTTAATTTTAAAGGCATGTGAGCCTCGAGCCTTTGTCTGGTTCCTGCTCCAATATCAACAATCATCTGTCACTCCCCTGTGCTCCGGAATGTCAGAATTAGTGAGGTTTTTTTTTCTGTTCCTTTTTTAGAGAGTCTCTCGATAAACTTTCCCAGAGAGGGCAGCTTCTCAGTGAGGAAGGCCACAGTGCAGGGCAGGGTGGCCGCCTGGGCTCCCAGCTCCTCAGCAGCTATCAAAACCTGCTCAGGATGACCAAGGAGAGACTACGGGGCTGCCAGCTTGCCCTCCAGGAGCACGAGGCACTGGAGGACGCCCTCCAGGACATGTGGTCCCAGGTGAGAGATGTCCAAGACAAGCTGGCCTGTGCAGAAAGCACCCTCGGTAGCAAGGAAACCTTGGAGAGGCGCCTGTCACAGATACAGGTATGTGTGGCCAGCCAGATGCTCCCCAGTGCCGGAAATCCTTCCAGGAACCTTTAAAATCGGGAAATCAGTCAAAGAGGGATACATAGGGGACATTTTTCTCTAGCAAAAGAACAATTGTGTTCAAATATCTTTAAAATTATTTTTAGTTTCATTGAGTTAAATAGTCAGCAAACATTCAGTACCTAATCTGTCTGAGTGCTAAGCAAGCTTCTGGCAGTGCAGAGGTACAGGCTAGTCCTTGCTTCTGTGGAGTTCCTGGTCTTGTAGGAGAAGACAGTGTATAAAGCAGCATCTGCAGTGCAAGCACAGGTAGGGGCCACGATGGAAGCAAGCAAGGCTGTGCACACAGCAGTCCGCAGAGCTGGGCTAGAGGTGATGGAGGCCACTGTCTCAGTAATGCTTCCCCTTGCTGAGACGAAATACCCAACAACCAAAATTGTGGAGGAAAGGTTCACTTGGCTTCCAGCTTGTAGAGGCTTCAGTCCACAGTCAGCTGACTTCAAGGCAAGACAGCATTTTGGAGGGCCATCAAAGAGGAAAAGTAGTCCATGGCAAGCTGGCACATGAGAGTTTATCAGCCCTCCTCTGTGTCTTATACTGTATGTAGACTACCCACTCTAGGGCAGGCATAGCTTTCACTGTGTCAAACTAATTAGTAGACTGACTTAGCAATGACACACCCTTGGTGTCAACAACTCTCTGAAAAGCCCCTGCTACAATGTCATGAAGTTTCAGGGGCAACATCTAGACACAAGCTATAAAAGTCCTAATGCTTCTGGGAGCCTCTAAATAATGGTTGTGCAGACAAAAATGGAGAAATCAGTCAAAAAGGGATACATAGGGGACATAGCTGGGGAGATAGCTCAGTGATCTAATGGCCTGCCTAGCAAGCTCAAGGGCCTGGGTTCGATCTCCAGTACTGTGTGCAGTGTCGGCCTCATGCTGAGCCAGCCACCAAAACTGGACATGGTAGTGCATGCCTGTAATCCCAGCATTGGGGAGGCTTAGAAAGGAGGATGCACTGGGATGTACTACATAGTGAGACCCTGTACCAAATGTAAAAAAAAAAAAAATTACCTTAAAAAGTATTAATCAGCGAGGTATTGAATGTATGGAAAGTTTGAGGTTGTGACAGCTGTGTCTTCCTTCACAAAATTTATTTTTACTCTCTGAAACCAATCTATGCAATTGTCATTTCCAGGCTAGGGAGCCAATGTTTTCTGAGAATTTAAGTTGGAGTTTATATTTGACCCCGGGACTCCCTGGTATGTAACACTGCAGTAAAATGTGTTACAGCAGTAGGGCCCAGAGTTGGTTGATATTTTTGATGATAAGATGTTCCTTACCTTAATTCTCCTCAGAAACATGACAGTTTTTTTTTTTTTTAAAAGCAACAGGATATTTTCCTACTCCTAACTGACAAATGTTCCTTCTGCCTTCCCAGGACATTCTCTTGATGAAAGGTGAAGGTGAAGTCAAGTTGAACATGGCCATTGGCAAAGGGGAGCAGGCCATGAGAAGCAGCAACAAGGAAGGTCAGAAGGAGATCCAGGCTCAGCTACAGACCCTCAGGGGCTCGTGGGCTGACGTCATGGGCACCTCTGTCCATGCTCAGAGGTAGGGCATTGATTTGAATCCATACTTGCCCAGCAAGACCAGTGACTTAGAAAGTGATGGGCCAGTGCTCAGGTGCCCTGGGGTGCAGTTCCCAAGCGTGTCATTTTAGCAGGTTGGATACGTGCCTGCCTCTGCCTAGGTTGCATTTCCCAAGGAGTGAAGATTGCTTTTGTTTACAGCTTGTTTTGGTTCTGTATTTTTATTTTATTTTTTAAATGTTGGCATCTCCCTATTATCATCTCTTGAGGAATCTTGTCATTAAAGCAAAGGCTATGTGATTCTTTAATAATATTTAGCTTTTTAAAGCAACATGTGGGGCAACTGGGATGAGGGAATGGAGAAAAGGAAGAAGGAAGAAAGAAATATGGAGCAGTTAATGCTTAATTTTTGACCAGTTTTATATGCTTAGATCTGGTAACCTGAACAAATACGTTGAAGACAATATGCAAAAGAACAATCACTGTTGAATTCCTATCATCATGTTTTTGAAATTCTGTTTTGTTCCTAATGTTTTTCGTTATTTTTATTTTCTGTAGAATAAGAAAGGAACATATGGGAAATACATTGTTGGCAATTGTTGAGCTTAAGCATAAATGTGTTCTTTCATGAAAAGTAAGATCATTCTCCTCGGGATTGCAGAAAGCACAGTGGTGGGGCACAGAGAGCTGGTGTCCTATAAAATGGGAAACACTCACTCCACCCAAAACTCAGCCCATGAAGACACCCGTAGAGCTTTTGAGTCTCACACAAGCTCACTCATGTGTGGACCCTGTTATAAATTTCATCATGTAGGAAGCATACGTAGAGTGTACATGGGTTGTTACCAGAGGCTGTAGAGAGCAGGGCTAGGGAGAAATGGAATGGTTGATCAATAGGTACCAAGTTCTAATTAGGGTAAAAGTCCTGGAATGCTACTGCATAATAAGGGGCTAAAGAGAACAGCGATACAGTGTACATTCCGAAAGACAGAAGAAAGTATGTTAGAAGTGTTCACTATAAAGAAATGATAAATGTTTGAGATAGATGAATTTAACCTGATTTAAACATTGCACCATGTTCCTATGTATTAAAATATCACACTAAGCTTTAATATATAGATTGAATGTTTTATACAAAATTATGTTTTCATTTAAATGAGAGGAAAAATATTGTAGAGAGAGATGGAGAGACGAGAAACAGAGTATTAGATGCTACTGAGGTAAGGAAAACTTGGGGAAATGTTATCACACCAGGTGTTGTCACATTTATGAGTGGGAAATGTTTACATTCCTCCCTCAGAATATCTATGAGTAATCTGGCTGGCTTGTCGGACAACTGATCATAAACCAGAATTGTACTAAAGCACATCCCGGGACCCATATTCTGAAGGTCATTTGTACTATCAGATCATGTAAGAAATGGGTGCCCAAATGAACAGAGGAAAACAAAACAATAATCCCTGCAGCCATGCACTGCCATGCAATACCACCAAGAAATAAGAGTTATTCCTAAAGATTGCATGGCTTTTTTCCCTTTAATACAAAGCAGAAGTAGTGACTTGCAAAGTAAGCAGGACTTGGCTTCTTACCTATAGCTCCTTGTGGTCAGCAAGAAAGAGGTCAGACTCTAGAGCCTCATTCTACAGCAGCCTCTGGGAGCACCAGCTAAACTTTTCAGTATTTGACAGCAGGAGAGCTTCCTGAAATTTTATAGGAATGTGAACAAATGTTAGATTAGACATGTGCAGAGGTTAGAACAGAAATGTAAATGCAACGGTCAGATTCAGTGCTTTGATTCTCCAATTTCTGCAAAAAATAAATTTGACAGCTGGATACTGAGCAGTAGCAGTATTCAGATATATTGCTAAAATAGTGAAGGAAGAACAGAAAATAGACTTTGCCCTCTAGTTGCTCACAGCCTAGGGTAGGTAGGAAGGTGCCTTCCAGAAAATTCTGACCCAGGTTGTGTGACTTGGAATTTTCAGAAGACATGAAGTGGATGTAAAAGAATGTGGGTCTGGTACAACACTGAGGTTATGTGACGAGGTTCTTATTGATGCCAAAGGAGAAGTCTGAGCAACTGTTGGAAATTTGGTTGCCAGAAAGTAACCCAACATGTATGTGAGGGTGGGCAGCCACTGAAGATCAGTTTAGAATAGTTTCCAAAGCTCAGTTTCAGATGACTTTTCTGAATGACAGTCTGGAAAGTTCTGAGTATCTGGAAAGCTGGTTATTTATTTCACTGTGATGTTTGTTTTTTGTTTTTTTTAATTTATTTGTGTGTGTGTGTGTGTGTGTGTGTGTGTGTGTGTGTGGCCAGCTCAGCCCACCAGGGGGCGGGGCTGGCTGGCATGTGGTGCTGGGAGATTGAACCGTGGTCCCTGTGCTTTGCTAAGCTTGTTCTAAGTCGGTGCTTTAGACCACTGAGCCATCTCACCAGCCCCTTTCACTGTGATGTTTGTGACTTTATATCTTTGCATTTTAAAAAATTGAGCCTTCATTCATTCACCCATATACTACAGAGCATTGACTTATGTGTGTATGAATGAGTGTATAGGTGTGTAGCCCTAAATGAAAACCAATCTAATGATGTTACTCAGGAAGAATACCTTGAATAGTAGACTGCAGACACAGTATAATTGCATAATTGATTTTTAATTAATCAATCTAATTCAAAGAAACATAATAATAATTGATATATGCTGGATGAAATTGAAATGATGTTTCCAGTGTTGAGTTTTCACAGCACGACATGAAACTTTCTCTGTCCACTTAAGACGTGGAAGAGAGGTCTCCAGTTCCACATCTGAGTATAGCGTCTTGCTTCAACTTTTAGCACTGATTTCCTTTGTGAAGGAACTGTGCTCTGGGTTTAATTGATCAGAGAACTATGTTCTCCCTGTACTCAAAGCAGCATTTCCATTCCTTACAGTAATATTTACTGAAACAATCTACATGAATGCAATAGCCTTGTAGGGGTTTTGTTTTGGCTTAGTTGGGGTTTTGGTGTACTGGGGACAGAACCCAGGGCTTCTTGTATACCAGAGAAGCCCTTTAGCACTGAGCCATGGCCCCAACCCAAGGGTGTGATGACTGTGATTGAATTTTGGCAGTCATATTAAGTTCACTCATTTTAACACCACACGGTAATAATTCTAGTGCTCTAGAGTCTGTGCTTAGCCAATGGAATGACTACCTAGAGAGGAGACACCAGTTGGAGCAGTGGATGGAATCAGTGGATGAAAAACTCGAGCATCCTTTACAACTGCAGCCAGGACTGAAGGAGAAGTTTGCCCTGCTGGACCACTTTCAGTCCATTGTCTCTGAAACAGAAGATCACACCGGAGTTCTGCAGCGTCTGAACACCAAGGCCAGGGAGCTCTACGAGAAGACCCAGGATGACTCCTTCAAGGAAACTGCTCAGGAGGAACTGAAGACACAGTTTCATGATATCACAACTGTGGCCAAGGTGAATGCTTTATACCCAACAAAGACTTGAAGGCTTGAGAGAAGAGTAAGCCAAGGGTCCAGCCTAGTGGCACACACTTCTGATCCCAGCCAGCACTTGCATTTTGCAAGTTTATGACTCCCTTGATTTCAATCATGTGTTCATTTCCCATTTTAGTAAAAACTGCCTTTTCCTGTTCTCCAAATGTAGACTATTTCACAGACTCCATTCTCGAAATGAATCTTTACTTGCCTCCCATGTGTTTGCTTTCAGATAATAGTGACCAGCATAGAAACCAAGGGAGAATTTTAACTTTTTTCCTACTTTGGTTTGCTTTTGAGAACTGTACCTTATGGATATTACAATCATTGACAAGTGGCTTGTTTATCTTCACTTTTAGCCAAATTTGAATCTTGGCCTTGATGTTTTTTTAACATGTGACTTTGGGCACGTCACTTACCACTGTGAACATGTGTGTCCTGCTCTGGTTCATGGTGACCGTTATAGAGTCCACGTTGCAGAAGTGGTGGGATTCAAGGAGCAAGTCTGCCTAAGGAGCTGAGCAGAATGCTCGACACCAACGTACCATAAATAATTTCTTCAGTAACAAGAACAGTTTAATAACTGTGATAAAGTGGGTTGTCAAGTATACTAACCAACTTTCTTAAGCATAGCTTTTTACGTTAACAATAATAAATTTACAGGAAAAAGTAGTTGCTTTTTCAAAGCCTTAGTTCAAGGGTTATAGTGTCAAGTTTAGGTGTTATGCTCAGGGAAAACTTAAGAATGAGAATGAAATCTTTGGAGATACATTAAGTGACCTCTATTAGGCCCATCATCTAATCTGATGTCATGTTCTCAGTGATGATTGTTAAATTAGGCTCTTCTGTGTTTACTAGGAGAAAATGAGGAAGGTGGAAGAGATTGTGAAAGATCATCTCATGTATTTAGACGCAGTGCATGAATTCACTGACTGGCTCCACTCAGCAAAGGAAGAGCTCCAGAGGTGGTCAGACATGTCTGGGGATGCAGCAGCCACCCAGAAAAAGTTGCTAAAAATCAAGGTCAGAAAATGGGCTTCTGTACTACATGTATTTCCTGGGTTCTTGAGTACAGACAGCATGCTTGTGATAAGAATTCAGTGAACAAGATTCTGTCATTTGCAACATTTCCTTTCTGGCTTTAGTTGGTTTTTATTGAGTCACGCCTCAGTAATTCTAAACATAAACAAGACTATATAAAAGAATTCAGAGAACTTCACATTTGTGGGCAAAGAGCAGTATTTTCTGTGTGATAAGTGTGATTGTTGTTGCAGTGTGACACTAAGAAATAGATGCTAGGATGCTGGGCTGACAAAACCAATGTGATGATAGCTCACTGAGCTCTTCCAGAGGCTACTCTCTGGACTCATTTCTCATCTTCTTCTCCTGATTTCCTAGCTGGGCCTTTGGACAAGTTACTTTGGATAGTGTTTTCAAGCGTCATCTATTAATTGGTAGAAGAAAAGTAAAGAAAATTAAAATAAAACCTTCCAGAGAGTTGTTTTAAGGATAATTAGATCATACATATGCAATATTTACAATTGTGGCTGCCATGTAGCACGCTAAACAAAGAAACCCAGTGAATTTAGTAGATAAGTAATTCATTGGCCATGGGCTGACAAGGAGAGGAAGGGCAAAGGTGAAGGTGAAGACTTTAACCAGAGCCAAAAAAGCTGTCATCACCTGAAGAAAGTAAATGTGTGCAGACATGCAGATAGGAGTTCAAGTGTGAATACGTGGAACTGGCCTTACTTTAGGAGTAAGGTCTGTGAGGCAGTTGAATACTCACGGTACTTTGCAGGTTAGAGAGCTGTATTGAAGATGCAGTACTGAAAATTATTTGCACATAATTTATTGCTGAAGCTCTCAGAGAGGGTGCAATGAAGGTCAATGTGAATCACAAACAGGATGGTGGGCACAACAAAGGTTTTCAGGTTTTAAGGGCCACCAAAGAATAGTGTTACAGAAGAGAAAGAAAAAGGCAAGATGAAATAATAAATAGAGAAGGCTAAGAGGGCAGGATGCTACCAGGGTCTGGATGGAGAAGTTGGTGCCATCACAGATGCAGAAAGGAGCTGCCATTTAGAGGAAAACAGAGTGATGCTTAGCTTTTTGGCAACAACCCCAATCATTTCCACAGTGAGGGGTAAGAAGACCAAACCCCAAGGGTTTAGGAGGGGATACTGGGCTTGGGGATGGGAAGGATAGATAGCAAGGATGGACTAAGGCTTGCAGAGTTAATTTGGGAAAATAAAGTAACTTTTTTTGCAAATGCTACTCTTTGGGTTGTGGATGTTCTCTCTCCCTCTGAAAGGGCTTCACAATGTGCTTCTGAAGGATGGAAGTATAAGAGAAGGAATTCAAACAGGGAAGGAGAAAGTAAAGCTGGTTGGAGGCTGCCCCTTCAAGGTCAGCTCCAGCCAAAATATAGGCTGGCAGGGATAACCTTGGAAGAAATAGAGAGAACATGTCCTCTGTCTTGGGACCCCTGGCCAGCCCTGATCCAGTAAGAACTGTCCAGGACAGGCATGAAGACTTGTGTGAACATGTAGTTAATGTTCTGAAAGAGCTCAAGTGCAAGACGAGAAGATATATCTATCAGCCATTTTGAGCCACTTCATAATAATGATGCTTCCATTCAAAATACAGATGAGTAGGATTAGTGATGATAAATATTGGTCCACTTTCGTGCCAAAGAAAACTGGGATAAGACACAAGAGTACTCTGGTAAGCATTTTGATAGTTCTTACCTCCTGAACTCTAAATTCAAAATCACTCATGAAGGCACAGTATCAATATTTAAATTGGTTTGTGAAGCATGTCACTTTTTAAAAGCTATAATTTTCAGTTCACTAATTACTATATGCAGTGATAAACAGGACTGATTTTAGAATTCTGCTGTTGAAGGAGCTTAACTATTTATATTAAATGCTAACTGTGGAAGGATACACTTACATACATATCAAATTACATTTCTTGTGATTGAGCTTTAGACAACTCCACAGTACTTTCAAATGATGGACACTAAAATTTGGCTCTGCTGTATAGAATTGTGAGAAGATACATTGATTTTAATCTAATTAAATGAAAAGCAAACTGTATTCTAAAAACAGTTACGATATCTTTTATGCATAACTTATGAAGCATGTATCATCTTTAGCCAAATTTTTCATTTAATTCCTAGTTGATTTTCTTCTTGAAGATTTTTCTCTAATTGTCACTATTTCCTTTTATTTAATCCAGAGATGATATCATAATTTTCTATTATAATGAGAAAAAAAAATCCTGACTTTAGCTATAGGTACATAAATATATGAGTAAAACAGTTGACTTTTTCAGCAAGAAAAAATTTCAGTCTAAGAAATCTGCTCTCAGAAAGAAATGCCACTATTTGCGTATTTACCAATGCATATTTTAATTTTATCCTATTGTCCTCTGTAGCATATGTGCCTCTAGGCTAAAAACAGTATGTAAATTGTTAAATTTCTAGTGTTTTTTTTTAAAGGTAAAAGTAATAGTCGTAGACAAACCCAGTCTACAGTATCTTTTACACGTTAATGAAGTCAGTCTGTGGGTCACTTATTTTAGTTGCTATCAAAATGTTGACTGAAGCCCCGAAGTATTTGAACTGAAGAGGGAAGTGACCCTTGCACTGTGATGGGTCAGCTTGCTGCTGGCAGAACAGCAGTGTAATGTAAGCCACCGTCCTGCGGAAGCGGAGAGTAGTGGGTGGGGACGAAGCCGATGGGGTTGGGTGACCCGTGTTACCCGGTCCTTCTACTTGCAAGAAATACAGATCTGTTTATTTACAGGAGCAATACACTGAAGTCGCTCCCAAGCACTTCTCATGCTTCAGAAGGGCACGGGTCCAGGGTGCCTGCTGCCCTGTCTGGGCTCCGTAGGGCACTGTGTCGCAAGCCCGGGCGCTCACAGAGTTAATTCCCTGCTGTTAGGACTCAGGAGTGGGCAGCTGCGTGAAGCCGGGTTCTCTGTGCTCACTTGCTCCAACTTCCTAGCGGGACCAAGTCCCCGCTGCACACTTCTGAAAACTTGCAGCCCAGTGACTCACGCCTCCTTGGTTTCCATGGCGATATTCCATTACAGGAGCTGATAGATTCCAGAGAGCTTGGAGCAGCCCGCCTGGGCCGAGTGGAGTCGCTGGCACCCGGAGTGAAGCAGCACACAGCTGCCAGTGGGTGTGAGCTCCTACACTCTGAGATGCAGGCCCTGCGAGCCGACTGGAAGCAGTGGGAAGACAGCGTGTTCCGCACGAGGCGCAGCCTGGAGGACCTGGTCAGTCAGATGGCCCTTTCGGAGCAGGAGTTCTCGGGCCAGGTGGCCCAGCTCGAGCAGGCCCTGGGGCAGTTCGGTGCCCTTCTGAAAACCTGGGCGCAGCAGCTGGCCCTCCTGGAAGGCAAGAACACGGACACCGAGATAGTGGAATCCTGGCACGCAGGACGAGTAAGTTGGCTTCCGCTTTTCTCACGGCAGTTATGCTAGAAACATGTCTTTGCCTCTCGTGGTTGTTAAAAGAAGTCTTAGCTAACTAAAAACATACAAGATCCAGACTTGGAAGAAGTATTTATCTGATGAAATTTGCAAAAGCTGATCTTTTTCCTTTTCTCATAAATCAAACTTTGGTAAAAGTTAACATGTGAGAGAAAAGAAAAATTATTTCCTGAAACTTGATTGTCGGTGGAGACATTTTTTCTGCTCCTTCTGATGTAAGAGTTTGTAACACTGCACTGGGCCATCCAGTGGGAAAAAATGGCCCGTGGGCAGAGGAATACATAGACAGAGAGTCATGGCTGTGTTCTTGCCAGTTAACTATTTCAAACAAATAAGAGATTGACTTTGTAGCTTTGGAACACACATTTGGTGACCTACTAAAGCACAATTAACTGTTCTCACCCTGAGTGACTCTCCTCTGTCCGTTTGCTTTTGACAGATGTGCTCAAATTAGCCAGTTAACGCACATTAACATAGCGACTCCGTCATGCTTGCTGGGCTCCTGCCTGCCTGCCTTTCTTCCTTCTCTCTCTCTTTCTTTCTTTCTTTTTCTTTCTTTCTTTCTTTCTTTCTTTCTTTCTTTCTTTCTTTCTTTCTTTCTTTCTTTCTTTCTTTCTCTTTCTTCCTTCCTTCCTTCCTTCCTTCCTTCCTTCCTTCTTTCCTTTCTTTCCTTTCTTTCTTCCATTCAATAGCAGCTCTTTCAGAATAAGGGAAAGAGAAACAGAAAAGGAATTATAAAGAATGGGCAGAAACTTAGAAATCTTTTTCCCTTCTTTCATTGTTCACTAGTGATCTCTGAAAGACTCTTCAATATTTGCTGTTTTCTACTGCTCTGAGTCATGGCTGTCTGTAAAAAACAATCTAGTAAAGTAAACTTCTCTGCTTCTATTTATGTTACAATCGTTTAAAAATAGCTCCAGCCAGTAAGAAAGTCAGGGAGTATTTGTAGCTTTGTCATGTTTGGAGTGGAGTATTTGAAGTAGACGTAGCATAACATAAAATACAGCTTCACACTTGTCTCTTTGAGCTATTTTATTTATAATGTAGCCAGGGTTTTTTTTGGTTGACTTGTGGGCTGGTTTTCTGTTTGCTTGTTTTTGTAAGTGTTTCTTGATTTGTAGCTTGATGCGCCAGATGAAAGCATAAACAGTCAGTTCCCTAAAACAGAGACAAAGGCATTGGTAACTGTTTCATGTGATCTGATTATGAAAGAAAACCAGTTACACTGTTATGCATCTTTTCCATTTCCCTTTCTTTCCATTCCATTAACAGGAGAGAATTAAAAAAAAATTTTTTTTTTTTTTTTGCACATAGGTGACATTACTGTTTTCAGCTCTTGTCATTCCTTACTTGGGTACTATTGCCAGGAAATAACAGGAGAGCCACAAACCACAGGACAGTACGGCACCAAATACTGGTATTCAGCTGTTTTTACAGCAGACACAGCCTTCGCTTAGGTCCTCTCCCACATGTGGCTCCAGGGCAAATGTTTTCAAGCAGATGAATACATTGCCTGGCAGTATTTGTACTTCATTTCTAATCATGGCATTTCATTTAAAATGGAGCCAATACTTTAAATGTAATGAATGTTTAGGGAAATGTTCACCAAGCAGTAGATTTGCCAAGGTTCTTTAATTTTTTTAAAGTCTTTATTTATTTGGTATAGAGTCTCACTATGCAGCTTAGACTCGTAGTGATCCTCCTGTCTCAGCCTCCCCAGCACTGAGATTACAGGCGTGCACCACCATACCTGGTTTTGGTGGCTGTCCTGGCGTCATGGCATGTGATACTGGGGATTGAACTCAAGTCCTTCCACGTACCAGGCAGGTTGTTAGACTGCTGAGCTATCTCCCTAGCCCCTACGAAGGTTCTTATGGCATCATTTTGCTGTTGGAGAGGCCTTGTTATTGCTTATACCAATCTCTAACCCTCACAACTATTTACCTTATGCAGTTAAATGGTGGTATTCAAGAAATCTTAAAACAGAAAAATCAGTGACCTATAAACTACATAACAGAATGATACAAACACCTGTTCAATGTATTTGCAAAACTCATTTATTTTAATGCTTATTAAATTACTATTGGTGAAATATATCAGATCTCTTTAGGAGTATGAAAATTGTATGCATTCTAGGACTAACTTAATCATAACTCAGTATAGTATTTATTTAATGTGACAGGTGGAAGATACTAATCACTACACTAATGAGGATATTTATTTAATGTAAAGCTTTCAAAGATACTTTAATTTAGGATAAAGTCACAGGCATTTTTAAATGTCAAGTTTTGGACTCAGTGTTTTTCTTTTAACATCACCCAGTTTATAAATTTGAATCTGAGTGTTTTTACTTTCTTGGTAGGTAATAAGTTTGTTTAGTTTATAAAATGGTCTCCCTTAAAAAAATACTCCATATAGTATAAAATAGCTGTTCTTGATGTAGCATTTGGAATTGCAAAGAGACACATCCTAGGTAGCAGTATTTTTAATGATTGCAGATAAAAATCTTTCACATCTTCCACCCAGAGCCTTAGCTGTATAAAGAGAGCGCTTCTCTCACAATCACAGCTCCAGTGGGAAGATGCGCAAGTAGGAAACCAGTGGGGACCCTGATTGGGACAAAGGCCCACAGCACTGCATGTCCTCAGATGAGGCACTCTGGGGCTGGAAGGAGGCAGAGCAGCCTTCTAGGAGCTGGTGCTTGAACTGAATCCTGAGGTGTGAGAATCTAAGGGGACAGCTGAAGATAAGCAACAGCACAAAGGCCAGCCCAGGAGAAAGGGAAAAGAATGTAAGAGGAAAAATTACAGAGTGGGGATCAAGCTAGGAGATGAAGGCACTGTCCTAGCAATAAAGGGGGAAGATGCAAATAGGAACAGAGGCCAAGAGGAGAGTGGCTGAAGGGGCCAAGACGTAGGCCAGCCTGACCTGGGAATCTCCTGCACAGAGTGGGAAGGGGAAGCAAGGGCGAGGCCCAGATGATTCAAAGTCTGACTGACATCAGCAGGGGGACAGAGGCTCTGCTTCTCGGATGTAGGTGCAGTAATGACCTGTTTGGTTGACAAGAGATACAAGTCCTTTATAAATCTGTGCTATCTCAGTAAACAGCTCTAAAACTATTTATAACAACACCTACTGGTGTGCTCTATTTACTTATTTATTTTGCTGTGGTGACACCACAATCTACGTGGTCTTGAATATCTGGAAATCATTTCTTATTCTAATGAGCATTCTTCAGGGGGCCAGAAATGGTGCTGAGCATTTCACCTGCATGACCTCATTTGCTCCATGTGACAGTCCGTTAAGGAGTGGCACAACAGAGTTGACCGTGGCTTTGATTTTGTCAAACCCTAAAACTTCATTTTGGATGAAGCTATCATAAGACTGTGACTATTTGTGTCTCTCATCCATTGAATTGTGAGCTCAAAAAGAATGTAAATAATACCTTTGTATACTGAGGGACAGGGGTGTTCCCAGAATCCAGCAAGATGCTTAATGCATAGCAGACTTTCAGCAAATATTTGATGACTGCATGATGAAACTAGGAAATGAATGAAGTACTAGTAAAGTCAGACCTGTGGGTCATAGGAAATTCTGTCAGAGGTAACTGCATATGTAATACTGTATATAGTCAATTACTGCATAGGTTATTAAACCAAACTAAGGGTTACTATTCTTTGAAAACATCTTTCGTTACCTTTAAACAATGTATAATCTTGTCATGGCCTGGTCAGGCTGCTTTTAAACAACATAGAAAATTTGTCCTTCTTTTTATTATCTCAGTTCATTTGTCCACTAATCATGTAACTATATTTAATATTAGAGTGTCTACTCATGGCTAGAAAGGGATATAAAATAACAAAAAGCTAATTGTATGTCAAGGGGAACCCTGAAAATGGACTCCCCTTTTTTCACTGAACTAACACTTCACATCTCAGTAATAATTTATAATATGGTTTATGCTGATGTAGCTTGAAAAATTGAAATGTCTAATCCTCGCTCTTGTTATTCTGTCAGGAGATCTTGGATGCTCTACAAAAAGCAGAGCCTACAACAGAGGACCTCAAGTCTCAGCTCAATGAACTTTGTCGATTTTCTAGAGATCTAAGCGCGTACAGTGGAAAAGTTTCTAGCTTGATTAAAGAATATAATCGGTAAGCATAAACTCTCCTGATGTTTCAAATATTTTTCTTTTAAAAAAATTTAAAGGGACAAGATCTTGCTGTGCTATACAAGCTGGCCTTGAACTTCTGGGCTTAAGCTGTCCCCCATCTCAAAAACAGCTAGAACTACAGATAATGAAGTTATGTACAGACACAATTTCAGAATATTTTCATATAAAGTAGCTAAGCTCAACATAGTGATGCTTGCCTGTAGTTCAGCAACTTGGGAAACTGAGGTAGAGAATTATCATCGCTTGAATGCATGAGTTTGAGACCAGCTTGAGCTACATAGGACACAAGAGACCTCTTTGCAAAGAAAAGAGAAGGGAAGGAAGAGAAGGGAAAGGAAGGGGAGGGGAGGGAAGAAAGAAAGGAAAGGGAAAGGGAGGAAAGAAGGAAAGGACAGGGAGAGGGAGGGAGGAAGAGAGAAAGGAAGGAAAAAAGAAAGGATCAAATCAAGTAGAAGCTAGAGGCTTTTTAAATTTTTCATGTGTGATTTCAATGATAATATTAATTCATTAAGTATTAAATGCAGGGGCCGGGGAGATAGCTTGGTGGTCTAAGGGTCTGCCTGGCAAGCACAAGACCCAAGTTCCATCCCTGGCACCACAGGCCGTGCCACCCATGTTGTGCTTACCACTGAAACCAGGTGTGGTGATGCATTCCTATAATCCCAATGCTGGGGAGACTGAGACAGGATGATCACTGTGAGTCTGAGCTGTGTAGTAAGACCCTGTACCACATAAATAAATCTTTTTTAAAAAGTATCAAATATTTTACTAAATGCACAAAATATGTACTCTTAAGCATATTGATTCTGTCAATCATTATCCTAAGCAACTCTATCGTTTTGTTCTTTTGCTGAGTGTTCAAATCACTTTTTCAGTCTCTGTTTGCAAGCATCCAAGGGCTGCCAGAGTAAAGAACAGATTTTACAGCAAAGATTTCGAAAAGCCTTCAGGGATTTTCAGCAGTGGTTGGTTAATGCAAAAATCACTACTGCCAAATGTTTTGATATACCTCAAAATATTACTGAAGTTTCCACAAGTCTGCAGAAAATACAGGTAAGAATTTTATCAATTAGTTTTAATAAAAGGCTGAAGTACACTAAAGGATTCTCTTTGCTCAGTGGTGGCAAACCTAAGACACGTGTGAGATTTGCTTGCCCTTTAAGACAATAAATGTTATTATATGAATTATTTTTGTCTAAACTAATATCTCTTGGCATTCAGGTTTAACTTCAGAGTTGACACCTTGCAATAAATAAATGAGTTTTGGGGTGCAGTTTAGTCACTCATGCCTAAAAAGTTCGCCATCACTGCCCTAGATTTTTTCATAAGTGTGCTACACATGAGATTTTGAAAATCAAAATTCAGGGATCCTGAACAGA